ATTCTTTTGTAATAGGTCAAATTAAAGTAAGATGATATTCTTATATCTGTCCCCGTGCTATGGTTATGTCTGTCATTGCAATTTTGAGAGTGAATACTGCATTTATATGCAGATGTCACTCTCGAAGCTTTGCAGCGTGTATGTGGCTCTTGGCAGCATAAAAAAACACAAATTCTGATATTCAAATTCTGTATGGATTATAGCCTAGAAAACACAAAAACATCACTCCCTTTATAATCATTACAAATCTGTCACTCTCTTCAATTGATCGTGGTCTCATGAAGTTAGTTACTTGTAATGTCTTGTTTGCAGTGTGTCTGCCCTTTGTGTGTTATAATGAGAGGATCTGCAAGCGTGCAGAACTTAGCACTAAACACAAAATCCAGATTATAACTTAAATGCCTCGGATTGGCCATTGCATCCAAGAAATCAACAGATATGTCTGTGATTGGCTCCATTGCTCAACGCTGCAAAAACAAGTTGAAAATAGACCTTTCACACTCTCCAGGGCACAAACACAAATAAACAGAAGTGTTTGCTAAATCTGCCAATATCCTATTATTGCAGCTTCAAGGGTGCTCTTGCTTTCATTAGAGGTTGTTTAGCATCTTCTAGCATCCCTGTAGTACCAGGCCTGCTGAGAATGGATGTAACACTGTCAGTTTAACCACTTAAAATCCCTGTATTTGACCATGTCCCTATGGAAGTGACAGCAGAAGTAGTTCCTGTGTAGTGCAGCAGGTGTGCATTTAGAACAAGTATTGGTTTCACTTTATTTTGATGGTCCCTTTAAAACAATCTGTTGACTATAAGTAACATTGCACTTGCATGTCTACTAACTCTCATTAGAGTGTCAGTAGAGTATTAGTAGACTGGTAGGGTTAGGGTTAGAATAAATTGACATGTACTTGCCAAGTTGCTTATAGTCGGTAGAATGTCTGTTGAGAGACCATGGCAATAAAGAGTTAGCAGATATTAAGCAAACCGTCTACTAATACTC